AAATCACACCAATGTATTGAAAGTGCGCAATTGCTTAGATGTGGTCGTTTCTGGGCAATCCAAAATGACTGCCTCATTTCTTCTCCGGGGGTAATTTCTTTGAGAGCACTGGCAAGCTCACGAAAATTAGTTGAGTCGGTTACGACTTGACATTTAAGAGGGCTTACATCAATGTCACTTTTTCCGGAAACGCTGGAAAACAAGCTATTGATACTGAAAACGGGATAATTTGTCCGAAATTGTGATTAAGCAGTCATTAACATAATTTTATACAGCTGTTTCTCCTTGTGAAGCATTGGCATTTGATCAGAATTCACCAAGCAATTCTATCCTAAGCTCTTCATTTAAGTTGTTTCCAACTGCTATTTCTTCTTATGATGTCCGCCTTCGGTTGCTTTGGCAACGTGTAATTTGGTCTACATCTTTTCATTTGCGTTGGTGATTCCAAACTGGGTTTGGATGATGACTTCCTACCTATTATGTCCGAGCAACGAACAAATGATTTCCAGGAATTATTAACACACTATTACTGTCAACATTTTTATCAAATAACTACTAGGTACCTAGTTCATATATACTTCGATTCCTTTCACCACAATGTTTTGACTGACCCATTAACCACTATTATAAGATTTACCGTCCATGATTTATTCTCAATCAGTCAGTTACGATATCATATATTCACACCGATTTTTGTATTGACCCAGTATAATAATAATTGCTTATTTTATGATGTGAAGCTGTCTGGTCTGCTTTCACATAAACCACATATGTCGGAAATATATGATCCATATAGCTTTCTGGAATGAACTGGCTTGGCTGCTGTATCGAGGACCTATGAGGATTGAGGTTTCACTCGAGGTTGAGAATGCTGGTTGACGTGTCGTTTGCTTAATACATGAAAAGGGTCATAAAAGTCTACGGTTCGATTTAGGAACTTGTCGCACGATATTTGACGGGGGATAGGACGTCCTTTCGATGTCTGCCTCCAACCCCCGGCCGCGTAAGTTCCTTGATCTTCCTCTTTCCCAAAGGATCCCAAGCTAGGGCTTGCCTCGTGATATGGCTCGATGTCCTATCCACTTCCAAAGTATTTTTCATCTGGAAACTGGTTTGTTGCCTATGGTTATATCGCACTCTCAATGTGCTTTCCAAGTGTTTTTGGAGTCTTTTCCGTTCTTTAACTTCAGCTTTTACATCACTTCTCAACAAAATCTTTAGAAGACATTATATGTGAAAATTTTATTTGAAATAGTCTCGGCGACTGACATGTAATTTTCACATATAATGACTTCTCTATACTGGGCGCCCGATTTCTGTCAAACTATTTGTTCTAATCTTGACGAATATTCGTATAAGTATCTTTAGAAGTTCTCGTATCGAAAGTTGTGGGATCCTTTTGTTCCGCTTAGTTTGCCTCTGTATATGAATGAACTTTAGTGGTATTGGTTCCTAATCACACGATCTTTGAAGCTGAACATACAACCTCAAACAACTAAGTATGTTTCAAAACAATAGGACTAAAATATTCATTCACTTCCTTATTCTGCATAGACATTATATTTCTTATAATCTTGTATTGAATGTTGAGAAGCTTTGTGTGTTTGAACAGCTTGTAGTGACTCACTTTTATCACGAAAACACGACTAATTTAATGAAAACAATTGTTATTATAACCAATTGTACCAGTGCTTGTTTTAATGTGCTTTTGTTTAGCTGTGCTAAAAAGCATCCATTATTCTTACACTTTGATTGTGACCTCGTGCGAATTCGGCTACGTTCTGTAACCAAGGTTTTATCCTGGCACAATCTCGGTATCCTTTCGATACCACGAGATCGCCAGAGAATATATCTCGATTTGGTCCATTAACCGCCCTCTGATATTTCGCTTCCGGGGGATTTTATGGATATCCTGGCGCGCGTTCCTTGGTAGCTGTGTTCATAGTCCATTTCGACTAGACACCAGGCTACAACTGGTTAGCCGAATTCTCGAACACGTCACAATCTTTGGTCAAATCTTCTAAAGAAGCCAATCCGGTAAGTCTATTGTTTATCTATCCACGTCTGTCGTATATTTTCATATTACCTTTCAATATATAATATGCGCGACATGACGGATAACGATAAGAATAGTATTAATATAATGGACTCTCATGTACATGTACTGAATCCTTGTCACTTTTTATTTGCGTGACGGTAAATTCCACGCTTCATTCGAGAAAATTTCCCCTATTAACTATTCTCCTCGCTGACCCGGCTGCTTGGTACGGAACGCATACGCATACGCATTACCGTCTACCACCCAGCACCAAATGGTTGAGTTGAACGGTTTCACTGCCAACTTAAACGTGCTCTACGAGCACACGAAAACGACAGCTGGTACGAAACCTTATCGCTCGTTCTCTTAGGCATTAGAACGAGCTTGAACGCAGATATCCAATGTTCCGCCGCTGAACTTGTATACGGCACGACATTGCGTCTGCCCGGAGACTTCTTCACACCACGGAGCAGACCTAATTTCGGTAAATCAGACTATGTCCATCGACTATCTGCATTTATGCGAACGCTGTCTCCGGTGTCAACTCGAATACAGCATCGACAGGTCGCTCTCCCTCGAGAGATATCTACTTGTACACATGTTTTCGTACGAGTAGATTCGGTACGCAAACCTTTGCAACAGCCTTGCGAAGGCCCTTTTCACGTGATCGCTCGTCACGAAAAGACCTTCAAGGTTGATCGACGTGGCCGCGTCGAGAACGTCAGCATTGATCGTCTCAAACCAGCGCACGTCGATGACAGTGCCCTATCTGGTAACCTGAGATTCGATGCTAAACCTATCAAACCTACTAGCGGGATCCTTAAATCTCCTTCAGATCTCACGCCAGATACATCTGTGGCCTCATTCTCACGTCCCGGTCAACAGCGCGTGTCATCTGCATCATCTACGGACGAGACGGCAGTCTCACGTCCAGATCAGCAGACCACGCCGCCCTTGACTTCGAAAGAGATTACAGGCTCATGCGATACGAACGAGACTGCCGTCTCACGTTCCGGTCGCCGAGTACGGTTACCCGTACGCTTCTACGACTAGCCGCACAGTCAACAACCGATACCGTGTAGGACTATTCCTATGCCACATGCATGCTACACTCTTCTTTTTTTATTTTTTTCTGTATCTTAAGCACACGCATCCGACCATCCCCGTTTGGTATCGTCGACTTCAGTCAACTTTGGCGAAAGCTGGACTGGCCACCCACGCTCTTGTCAACGCACTCAGTTAATATTTTGGTTTCGACTGTTTGACATACGCTTGGTCTAGAACTTGGTCGTTATGGTCGCTTCTGGTTCCTCGGCTCAACGTGGTTTCGTCCTACGTCTGCAGCGTATTTTGGTCGGCATCCCTACGAACGCAATCTTCAGATTCTGGATACAAACTACTCTGGTGTGGTATGCCAACGCGAGCAACAAATACAGCACACCGCTCCTGGTACCGTTCTCCGAAAAAGACCTCCGTTGGCAACTCGACGGTTAACGATCGCTTTCCTGTTCTGCCAATTCTTCCGTCCTAGCGTCGCTCGTCAGCCGATCAGTCCCACGAATTAAACCGCTACTTATCGAAAGTGTATACCCTTTCTAGCGGGTGGCTCCTGTAGTGACTCACTTTTATCACGAGAACACGACTGGTTTAATAAAAACAATTATTATTACAACCAACTGTACCAGTGCTTGTTTTAATGTGCTTATGTTTAACTGTGCTAATTACAGCCATTTTGTGTTTCCATTACCTTCCATCTTTGTTCCGCGGATTTTGGCTTTGTTCGCACGTACTCCGTCCTCCTGCTTGTGCTTGTACCATTTCTTGGCACGATCTTGGTATTCGTTCGATACCACGAGATCGCCAACGAAATAAATCTGGTTACGTTCAAACTTCGCCTTCTGATTTGTTTGGTACACATTTCCTTGTAGTGGCGTTCATAGTCAATTTCGACTCTACACCACGCTACAAGGTAACCTCCCGCTGCACTGTGACTGTCCGACGAGCTAAATGGAAACCTCTATTAGTCTGGTTTCTATCAATAGAATGAGGGTTACCTACCGGAATGAACATGTGGTAGATTATGTAGTCACGTCAAGACAAATCTATCACTTTAGGATCAGGTCTACTATTATAGCCGTATTATTAAGAAAATAGACCATAAATCTACGTAGCAACCTTTATGAACCATTTTAACAGACCAGACTAGTAGTTGTTCATCTGGATGTCAAGCCTTACGAACACCGTTCAAACATCTCCAGTTTTGTCGTAAGTGGATCCACACTGTTCAAAGTCTGTGTACATAAACATACACTAGTGCTTTTCTGACGTCAAAGGTGTTTCCTAACCTGGTTAGTTATTTGTGGTGGACATTTGTTAGGTATGCATGGTTCTAAATATGATGGGGACTTGAACGTCACCAAGCTAAGTGTACCTTTAAATTGGTATGGTAGTATTTACTGAACAGCCCGTTAATCCAGCACAATCTCTATGGTAGTTATGTTTGCTATCCGCATATTTTGGTGAGGTCTAGCCTGATCGTATATTATATCACAAACTCTGAACATGGATGATAAAACAAAATGACTGATATTTGCTGACAGTGAAAGAATATTTAGATAGCGAATGTTCTCGATCTCATTAAAAGTATATAAAAATACTCGCTATATTAGTAAACCAAACCAATTTCATGAGAAAACCTGCATTTACACACCATTCAATAAATTGATTTTTTCCCTGTGTTGAAGATCCATTCACAAGGATCGGATGTTTCCGCACTTGGATATAGTTATCTACAAAGCAGTCAAACTACCCTCAACTTACACTTTGAAATTTATAAAATGCCTTCGGGAAATCTCTCGAGACAAGGAAAAATGTGCTCAGCATCATAAGTCTAAATTGTTCAATTATGTCAACCGAAACATTAAGGAAACTGAAAGCTTGACCGATAGCGCTAGACATTTCTGTGCAAACGTAAATAAACAGTTCCTAGAATTACATGTCATTGTTTTTGCGGACATTGCGTTAATTTTGAATGTAATGAAACCTTTAACTTTCTAATGGACAGGCGCTTAAACATGAATGTAGTTTTAGCACTAAAAAAGGACAATAACATCCTTAATATGGTTCTTAACGACTGTTTTCAGGGCTTTCAGACATCAAAAACTACTAATGCGAACACTACGTATTCATACAAGTTAACGCGCAACCAGTCCTGAGCACTTCAAATACGGAATCCCCGTTTAGAACTAAGCTACTCAAGGTCGTGGAGGTAGATCTGACCCTGACCTAGCTTTTCATCTATCCTGACTTTTAAAGCTTAACAGTTATCTATGCTGGACATGTCGAATCTTCCAGATTACAAGATATAAAAACATTCAAGAAGACTATTGAACCGACTAGATCGAGTACAGCCAGAATACTGCCCATTGGACGTTATTAAGGACCTTGAACGGTACCAAAACATCAAGGAGTGAGCTCCGTATGAGATTTTCTCAGGTGCTTACATCTAATGTCAGAACTGTTATTATTGGACCTCCTGGTTCAGGAAAGGCTACCATCTCTTTGCGTTTACAGAAAGACTTTGCTTTGAAATATATCTGCTGTGGCGATATGCTAAGAAACCATGTTGCTTTAAAAACAGGTAGATGTGCATCTTCCCGTGTATGTTTTATATCTTAGATATTGGGAAGCAGGTAAGCAGGTTTGTCCAGAATGGTTCACTTGTTTCGGACAGTTTAGTCACTAAAATGATGATTGCTGAGTGTCAAAGTTATGCAAGCGATAACTTACTTATTGATGGATTTCCGAGGACTATGATACAAGCTGAAGACGTTCAAAAACAACTTCCTGTCAGCTGTGTTCTTTGCTTAGATGTACCCTTTGAAGAAATCATAAATAGAATCAGTGGGAGATACACTCATGTCCCAAGTGGTAGGACGTACAATGATAATTTTAACCCTCCGAAGCGCAAAGTTAGTATGATATGACCTTGTAAACTATATTACTTGATAGCTTTTACTCATTGCTATTATATTGTATCTTAACATTTAATTTTTGTGACCAATACGGCTTGGATCTTTAATACCTTTGGGTGTACTGGTAAGTTGTGTGCGTAATGAATTTCCCGTTTTGATCATCATCGTCCATGTAGATTTAAGTTCATTAGTACTAACTTTTGCAGATTTTCCGTTCTTATGAGTTCAGAATCAACCGTAAGTTTATTTCGTCTCGTTTCCAAGAGGGTTTGGTAAAAACACTGGTTAGTCTCTTTCCCTGAGCCATGAATAATTGGGCTCGAAACAGTACACAAACATTTACTAGGTAAGTGAATTACGTCATGATGCTGCCACAAAATAATTACAGTTTACACGGTCAGTTGGCAAGTCGATCTATGATTCTCGTCAACTGAAGTGATTAGGATGTGTATTACATATGCTTAACTATCATGCTTACTTTAAATACGTTGAAAGCAACTTAGGGATAATCAAACTAAGACAACCTTAGCTCATGAAGCCATTGATTGTTGGTTGATTCGGACTACCTGATTCAGGTGCGCGTGATAACTGCGATCAGTGGTTGGAGACTTTGGGCAATAAGATGTTGCATCGTCCATAATTGTACAGATGCGTTCACTGCTTATCTTCTTGATCTTGAGTCCCAGGATCTATACATACATGCCTTTTCCACTCTGCCTATCAGGGCCATATTCTTATTCAATCTGTCACCGTAAGTATCATAGTATTTCGATCGCTTTGGCTGTTCATCTTAGTTTCATGTTTTCGTAATATTATGGTAAGACAACTGCGGCCGATATACATCTTTGCCAGCTTCTATGTTGATAGTGACTGACTGACATCTAGTAATAAAATCAATTATCTTCCTGTTAATTCACCACCTTTATAAAGCGTTGGAGAGACACTAGAGAGTTAGAGACAATAAATAATATGCTTAGATTTGTTGGTTGTATACTTCTAAATTAGTTAGGCGTTAAGGTACAACAATCCTTCAGTAGGTTCATGGGAATTAATGACGGGAAGTCTCACTATAAAGATTTTCTTCCTATGTCTTGTTATGTGGCATTTTACTCATTGATTTATATTACTAACACTTGTGAGATAAAATGCTACTACTCACTGTATATTGATCATACCATTACCATAAAAGTTTGGGAGTTTTAATTTTTTGGTGATTTTAACAATTCTAGAAACATACCATTATGTGCTTGCTGCTATTTCGATGTGAAAAAAATTTAGTGGGTGTATTTAGCAATATTATAAGCGTCTTGGATCCAACTCATTTAGTGAGCTCAAACAGTATTTATTTCTGCGTATTTCTGTCACTTAGTGATGAGCAGTCTTTCCTTCACTTGTATGTAAGGTTAGCCAAATGTATGTTCGATCTTCGTAAATATAGTCACTGCTTTGTGGAAAAATGTATGTTAGTTGGGGGTTGAATTTAAGCTTTACAAGGAAAAGATAATTACTATTGTCATTCACAAGTGGTTCTCTTATTTTAATTCTGATCACATCCACAGAAGAATACCGGGATTACCTGGGTTGCTGTCTTATCCCTAACTTCATTTCACTGACCGTAAATATTCGATGTTCCGTAAATTAGACGAAAATAGTATGTAATCCGATAACTTTTTATTGTGTCAGCTTAAGCTTAACAGATAAGATGTTGAAACAAGTCATCCAATATGTGTTACAGTTCCGTTGCAGTCAAAACCGTGCTGTGTTTACGGGGGTTTTGTGTTTATATTTGCGTTCGTCTCCAATGTCCTGTGTTCATGTTGGAGAAATATAGTCATCAGTTTATAACTTAATGTAACCCATGAACCATCCTCTTCTATCACTACTTTTATTTTGAAAATAGGGATTTGATGATGTGACTGGAGAACCTCTAATACGCAGAGATGATGATGACCTGATAACTGTTCGTAAACGTTTGGATGTTTATCAACTTTCTACTTTACCATTGCTTGATTATTACGGGTACGTTAACTTCGACGTTTTCTTTTGGAAGTGTTTGTAATATATTAGAGCAATTATTTTACTTGTAGTTTTTATTGTAAAGTGTATGCAAATTGTCATTTAATACTTGATTGAAACAAGTTAACATTTTTAATTTATAGTTTGCAGTACAATTAAATAATACAACCGAATAACTAAAATGTAATAGCGTACTCATTTGTGAGCAATCTTGTGTAACAGCTACCTTGAGTCAAAGATCCTACTCCCAATGACAGATAGTTAGGCTAATTTAAAACCTGAAACCTTCAGTATTTTAACTATCTAACTACTCAAAAATGTCACTCCCAGTTGTTCATTGTTTAGTGTAACACTATTGGAGTAAACAGTATTACTTGGCTTCATTATTCAATGTAGTTGATGTATATTTGAAAGCTAATCATTCAATGCTTATAAATCTAGGATGTTAATAATTTCTGTACAATTTTGACTAATAATGTTTTTTTTAAAATCTTTAATTAAATAACCATCATATTTTACCGTATGTGTCGATTGTTCTTTATAATCACTTTACTGAATCGTGGTGTAAAGCTGATAATTTATATTTGATTTAGAACAACATATATAAACAAACAATATTGTTTTCGATTAGATCCTCATCGGATTTTACTCTAATATACAGTAATACTTATTTGCATATACAAAATTATTAAACCAATCAAGGCAGTTTATGAGTCAATGATAACGATGGGAAAGATTACATAATAAGTGAAAAGTACAAATTGATATTGATGAATAATAAAGGCTTAAATCAATGTTGCATAATCGGAAATTATTAGAAAAATATAGACAGTGAGATAACATTTATAAAAATTATAAGATTACGTAATAAGAAGTGTTCAGATAATTGGACCGTGAAACGTATATTTGAGAGAAAATAAAATAAAATGGTACGAGGCGGTGAAGAGAAAAATAATAAACGAAGAAAGAGTATAGAAAATAATAATGGATAAAATCATTTATTAAGGTCAAGGGAGAGACAAGGGTGTTAAAAATTTCTTATGAACACAAAAACTTGTTGACTTGAATTCTTATAGCTTCTGCTATGCGTAAGAGACGAGACCAAACACTATAAGGAAAACTAGTAGGAATACGATAAATAACTTTAAAGGACTTATTTTTGTCTACTATATGACCGCTATCGATCAAGTGTGATAGAACCGAGCTGCGTATCGTCTTAACAGTACGTTTTCCTAACCACGAAGGGAGGTGTTCACTAACTCTTTGGTTCAGTTGCCTGGTAGTGCGCCCAATATAGCTTTCGCCACAAGAGCAGCTGAATTTGTAAATACACATAGAAGTGGCATAACCAGGTAACTTATCCTTTAGTTGGGGAATCACCATTGATCGGGTCGAGTACGACAGACAGGTTGGCTGCATTAAACGTTCTCTTTACTGCTCTAGTTTGACTACATTACTTATTCTAGTTTTCAGTAGCGTCCAGAAGTCATCTAACTTAAAAACGGTCGGTAGATACAGTATTGAGAGTAGATCCTTTGAAATTGGTTAGCATTTTCTATGTTGTTAAACCACCCATTTTATTTAATAAAAGACTGAAAATCCTGTACTTTCTTATTTTTACCGTATTGTGTGTGTAATAAATAGCTAAATAAATTGTTTGGGCGCTCAGTTTGGGGATTTATTTAGTAGCATTGAACCTCACATTATAAATGAATTCAGAGCCCTTCTGAACTGATATGGATTCATTTTGTGTTGCTATTAAATCTATTTTGGCAGTGGCGTAACACTTAATTACGCGATTTTGAATCAATGATGAGATAATAGTTAGAATGTTGACACTGATTGTGGCAGTCTATAAATTCGCTGTGGCAAGTAGTATGTAGCGACATGGATCGATGCATATAAGTGTCAGTCTTTACACTGGGTTTAATTAACTGAAACTAGAATGCTTTAACCCAACTACATTTTGTTTAATTTTTATTCATCCGACTATTACCGTTGTACATCGAATTATAATCGTTGTTCCCTTTCGTTTGTGCAAGCATGCATTTGGTCTTAGTAGCTACATATCCATTTGAAACAAGGAGAACATACACCTATTCAAGCTTATACTTGGTTTCACATATATGTCATATGTATCATTTTGATCGTACTGGTTATCAATATAAATAATTATTTACTTCCATTCGTGCACACTTTACGTTTGTGATTGTTTGCATATCTGTGTATGTTATTGCACTAACTTCATCGACCATATAAATTCATTCAACAATTCATGCAATGACTAGTCGCTACATTAATCCATACATTAGGCGATTCGACGCTTACACGCGCACGCCTTCACACTCACACGTACTTCCTACACCTTTTAGATCTTACACGTTTAGGGCCCCCAAATGCTCTGGTACGACCGAAGAACAGTGTCAGCTCTCCCGCTCAAAATGCTCTCACATGGTCACACGTATACAGCTATTGCCAGGGAAGTCCTACTCACTGCCTTCTCGCGGCGAGGGTGTTTTCTCACGAAATTGATATGACAATAAGCTAATGTCCGGTGCTTTAATGGGTTCGGTGGATATGGAGGATCCACCTAGGGGAGTTGAAAAACTCTGAATCCAAATGACTGGTGCACGTGGGCTCCAGTATCCTGAGGGAACAAGTGGCGTATGAACCTACTGTTGGTCACCGACTACCATGGAACTGCATCTCCTGACGTTGCTCCACTGCCTCGTGGATTAGATCTGGAGGCCAAAGGCTTGGTACGTAGCCCTATAAGAAAATCATCTGATTCGGTTTGCGCTTTCGGGCAGTATTCCAGCCCTCGCACAAATCAAATGATTTATGTGACGCATATATATTTAGTGCCTTCTTGTACCAATGTTTATGTGTTTAAATAAGAATAATACACGTTTAAGTGTGCTGGTTACATTTTGTCTGAAATATATCCATTTCGAAAGATGCTGTTTCAGACTTCTTGATATCGTGCTATCGAGTCTCTTTATGATTATACAACTGGATTAGTCTAAGAATTATACAAAGTTAACACGAATCTGAAACCAGTGTAATTATATTTTATCACACAGTCAAGGTGTATGAGGTTTTTTTATCTCGTTATTCTAATATTTAACAGAAATAGGGAAGTGATATATTTCTCCCTTTTTTTCTTCTTTCATTTCTTTATATGCAAATTAAGAAAACAGAAGATTTTACATATATTCCATGGATGTCGTACAAATGAAATTTGGCCTCAAGTGTATAAGATTTTCTCTCAATTTGTTAAACCTGTACAGTGTACTGAATATGATACGAATTAAAGTTTCTTTATTGTCATTATTATCACACTCCTCTTTTAGTATTATCGTAGTTGTACTTTTTATATTTATTTGCATAAGACTCTAATTGGAGAGTTCTTCGTATTATTATTGTCAAGTAAAAGATGTAGCTGATTTCTATGCATTAGTATTAACGAAAATAGCATGTTAATTGACCACTGATGTACAGTAATACAAATATGGTCGAGTGATGTTTGTACGCAGAACTAAATTCTTGACGTCAATCCCTCTTGAAAAATTACTAGTCAGAAGAATGAGGTTGTTTTCATGTAAAAAAAAAAGAAATGCTTGTCAGCAAAATGTCAACACAAAGAAGGTGTAATATAACGTGAAAGTTTCGGAAAAAATCAGCTTGTAAGTCACGTTCTAATCGATTAGGCGTTGACGGTTAAGCTGGTTGCTTGACTATCCTATAACTGCTAAGTTCAACTTCAGTAATAAGCTGTATGTAACATAGTTGACGTCGACAAATAAAATAGTTTATGAAATCGTAATCAGAATAATAGTTGGAAATATAGGTCAAGTTATAAATTGCAAATACAGTGTAGTTTAAAAATATAAGTAGGTGTTAAGATCATCTAAACTGAGAGGAAGAAAGTTATTAATTGTTCATAAGAAATGTTAATCTTTATTTGAGAGCAAAGTGAGGGGAAAAAGGCGACTCTCTTGTCTAACATATCTTGACGACATTGGAGTATTTCATCCCTTTGGAGTGAATCGATTGTCGTGATCCTCTTTGGAAATGGCTTGCATGATGTAAGTGCCGGTCATCAGGTGCATTTTTGATACCAGATGCGTCTGAAGTAGTTGCTTTTCACTCAATATGCCGATTGTCCAAAGTGCTTGGAAGGTAGTTTCACGGAAAGTAAATCTCAATTCGTTCTGGTCGTGGGTGTATTGGTTGTACCTTTGACTTTCGCCAAATTCCTAAGCATCAAGTATTTCAATGAAATATTTTTTGTATCTTTTAAGATTAGGACTCCATTAAGCTCATGATATACTTTCAGCTTACTTCATAGAGGTGTTTGAGATGTTTATAAACATTTAAAAGCTGTTCGTAAGAATACCTGGCGTAAGGTGAGGAATTATTATTACTTCTCAATTGCTGCAAATCAGTTATTCGGTCCTAACGTCCCATCGACGACAGCTTAAAAATAATTCTCACTGAGGTAGGGCAATGTGGTTAGACAATTTAAGCTAAGAAGGGTTAAAGAGAGGTGGCACACATCTTTGTATATTGTTGACTGAATTCGTATATTACGAAGCACTTATACCCACTTTTTATTCATGTTAATATAACTTATGTTATTAATATTTGTTTTTTAATCAAACAGTCGGACAAGAGTGTCTCCATTTACGTGATTTAGCCTCCTAGTTATAACATATATGTTTGTGGTTGGTCACTCAGATAAAGATTGTTCGTTCCACTAACGTAAAAATTACTCAAACATCAAATATCTAGTTAGTGTTCGCTAGTATTATTTGTGCCTTGGACCAATGGTATTGAAAATCATTTCTAAATGGCTAGTAGATATTTCTGTATATACTCACAATTGTTGTTAAGCTATAAAAAAGTAGTTGCAAAGTTTGTATTCATGCAGTAGTGTGTGCCTGTGGTAGTGCGGTAAAGAATGTCCATCTACTTATAGGGATATCTAGTTTGACTAGAATTTCAAGCGCACAACGTTGATAGATTTGGTTTGTGCGTGTAAAACTTTGACTATTTGAACTGAAGATGTCTGGTGGTTCTTTATATCGGGTCGGTGTTGTTGCTGATGGGCTGGCTACATTCAGTAACAAAATTGAGTTGTAAGTCCTCTATTGTGATAAAGTACCACAGAACAATAAGGCCTAATAACTGAATATAGTGAGGTAGACATCCTAGGTACTGGATCGTAGGATTATCCCTACACGGGATAGATACATCTACTGCTGCTGGGGTAAAAATAAACAGTAGTTAGTAAAAATCGTTTGCATTTATTTTCTGCTGTTAGGTGTTACTTCATTGGTATCCTTTGGACCGGTCCCCTGAAGGGACGCAGCTCGACTGCCAAAAATGCTATCAGACGGGTCTAAAATTGAATCAATTTTTTGATGCTCATGATCAATGGTAATATTCAATTTTTATAGAATTGAAGTTCATTTTTATTATTTAAACTGTGTTTTTAAAACCTGTCTATACTACTTATATATACTTATTTACTTGTTGATTGTGTTTCATTGTTTTCTCGAGAAATTATCGTTTCACTTCGTATGCTATTTTATGTATGTGTGTGTAAAATTCAAATAGGTTTACTGGATAAGTGTGTTACGGTGTTTTTCGTTAAACAGTTGTTTTATTCAACTGTCAGCTAGTTAACCTTTCATTTACAATTGTATAGTATGAAACTGGTAGGTATCATCTCTAATTTTATCTTGTTTAATACGAGTTAAGTCGTAAACTTCACAGATTTTCTTACTAATTTATTGAAAACATTTTGCCACAACATAATTTAGCTTTTGGATATGATACCACCCGACTACCCGAATCAAAATAGTCGAAGTGCAGTTCGAGCCCATGACCTGTTAGTTGTAGGTCAGTCGAAAAGTCAGTATACATTTGCAATTATCTTTTCTGATATATTCCTTCGGAATAATTTTTCGAGCAACTATTTTTCTTGAATGAAATAATGTTTCTGAGACTATGATAGGAGTATGTTTCATGTATAAAGCAGTATATATGTGTGTGCTCGTGTATCTATACTTTGGCTAATTCTTTTACATGCTTTTTGGTGTGAAAATGTAAACGAAGTAGTTACAAAATGGTAAGGAAATCGAAACAAAATGCCTCGAAATTTTAAAGGAAGAATCATCTCTATTCTAATGTAGATTAAATGGGAAACGGGACATTTAAAGAAAAAGTTTAGGAACGGGTTTTAATAAACAAAATACGGAGAATTATGTTTATTATGATATTTGAAACAGATTAGGTAATATTTATGCATAAAAGGATGTATCCTGAAATGTTATAACCATATTTCACTTACTGTTGAATAGCCAAAGGAATAATGGTGGGTTTGTGACTGTCACAATGGGGCAGCAAATCATGTATATATATATAACTAAAGGAATTTTTATTGGTCATTAATTGCACTTTTGTAATATAAGGGATAAAAGACGAAAATAGGAAAAGGAAGAAATGATTCTGTTTTTCTTGTATCAAGGAAACTGTAGTTCTTCTGTTTCGTCAACATTTGTTTTTTGATCTAGAACAAGTTTGCATGATCTTAGTAAATTTGTGGGAATGATCACTGAAGTTAAATTGTTCACATTGTCAGCATTGAAATTGAACCAATGAGAATTAAGCCAAAAATCAACTGTTCCACGTTTCCTGTCAATATAAAAAGACTTATTTGGGATGTTCATGGATGTATAGTTTACATCACGGACTGAATTTAGACAACCACTGCAACCAGAAGACACCAAACAGCTGTTTTGTAGTAGTAACAACTAGCATCCAACATCCCATCAGTAGCTCTAGGCGATAGTTGGTTATTATCGCAGTGTAGACCATTGGATGCCGATGCCGTAGCCCAAGTCTTACGCACTCACTGCAAGACCTAAATGTTAGATAATCGGTGTTGTGTATGGAGTTCCATACTAGGTGGGAACAGATGTCCGGTGGTTACTGGCTTTCGTTGGTTGTCTGAATAAGATCAGCCTGTGATGTACACTATAAAATTGAAATATTCCCACAAGTCGCTCATAATATTTTGTATCTATATTCATATTAGTATGATTAAGAAAATGAGACTTGGTTTGTAACTGAATTTTATGATTGAATGTGTTTATTATGAAAGATGTCAGAAACTTAAAGTACTCTCATTTTTGAATACTGCTTCGACAACTATGGCTCGTAAAATTTGAGTTTGGGGGAGGACAAAAATGGGTGCACCTGCGCCATTGCGAACGATTTTGAGCCATGTCATTCAAAGTCTTCAACCACTGGTAACCACTCGAACCCATGTCAGATAATGTACATCTATTAACATGACCTAGTACAGTTGTCAGTAACGTCAAACTGGTGCCATGTTTTGGCTTGGTCGCCCTTAGCTTTCTTCTAGCCTACTTCTACACCAAACAACATCGCGCGTCTAGTAGGTGGTGATTGGACAAACGTAACACATGTCTCAATCGCTCCAGTCGATGAATATTTACTATCTCACCAATCGACCTACCATCTCTACGTAGTACCCTATTTTTAACCCAGACATTACTTAATCGATGGTCTCAAGATACACGAGCGATGTGCTCCAAAGACACCTATGACCAAGCACTAGTAAACTAAGAAAATCCTTTATTCCTAATAGTCATGTTTCACTACCATAGGGTAGAACAGAGCGAAATGCTGAACAATAAACTCGTCCTTTGGTGATGCAACTTGGGAAAGCTAATCGAGCCTTTCGAATCGGTTGCGAGATTTCGTCAGATACCAGACCATTATGGCTGGTGAGACTTCCAAGATAAGTGGAGCGACCGATATGTTCAGTTACTTCACTCCTCACAATTAATTCAGCCGCTGATGCAGACCAATCATGAAGCAACATTTTACATTTGGAAGGAGAGAATCACATCCCAAATATGCTTGGATTGTTGCTCAAAGTGGTCAGAAGACTGCATTTTGTCAGCATCTTCACCAAATAAAACTATCATATGAGTATTCCAAGTCAACAAGTGGATCTCTTGGTAGAAGATCAATTCCTGCAAGGTCAGGCGATGAGAGTACTTTATTTTAAAGAATGCATGGTTCAGGCGTCTAACCTATATGATTAAAGGAGAGAGCCATCCTAAGTAACGGAACACAATTTGAAATTTCCTAAAAATGTGTTATCTATTAGTTTCCTGAAGGAAACTAAACGATTTATATAGATGTCTTAAGGTCTCATTATAAATCATGGGTAACGGGGTCTTAAACTAACACGAAACAGTTATCTAAAGGTTTCACATATTCAGTCGCTTTTTAAGCAAAAGTGTCATTTCATAGCTCAAACAAATCCCAACTACAGTACATTGAAACCAAATCCTCCTTTCATTGCTTTAGTTAAATCGTGACACCGAATTTGTTTTCTCCCCATTGGATTTAAGTATTTTACCACTTACAAGTTTATCAATTGATTAACGAGCATATATATATAT